GAAGGTATTGAAGAACTGTGGTTTTGTGCAGCTGAGGTCATTGTATTAGAAGGGTTTTTCATCAGCAGGATGAAAACTCAAATGTTTATTTGATAAGGAAGAAAGTGTTCTCTTCCCACAGGAAATTACTGAAATCAATAAAAGAAGCTTTTCAAGAAGCTTTTTGCCTGATGACAAAAAAAAAAAAAAAAAATTCAATCAGGTCATAATCAAAGGTTTCTTACTGCTTCTTCCTCTTCCCTCTAATTTTTTTTCCTTTAAAGTGATGATAATAGAACTAGCTCTTGTCAATGTTTTTTTCTGTAGTCTACTGATTTACTTATATTGTCTCACCTTTGTTACACATAATGAAATCTTTCTCAGCACAACCAGAGTCAGGAGGTTTTCCCTTTCTTTCCCTTAGTGTTTGAGTGATTGCCAGATTATTTAAGGGACAGATCTAAAATTGTGTTGGTTTGTAATAAAATCTGTAAAGCACATCAGAACTCACGCCACTCAGAGGCCCTCCTGTGAGAGCTCAGGCCATGTGTTGTTCCACGTATTGCCTTTGTTATTAGCAGCCTGCCTCATTTATAAAATGTTTCATGGCTTGATACCATTTCCAGCAATAAGTCTCAGTGCAATCTCACCCCCATTTCATATATTTGATTTCCTAGAAATTAAGGTACTCTTTAGAAACAGAAGGGGCACCCAGGACCAGTAATGAGCATGGTTGCCTTCACACCTCTTACCTAAATGCCAGCTCTTTCTATCAATCCTCAGATATGAACTAAAAGGATGTTCTTTAACTGTCATACAGTGATTATTTCTCAGGGAGATACTTGACCTAGGAGGAGCCAGATCTACATTCAGTGTAGGTCATTTATCAGTAAATGTTTCATGAGCCATAGTTTTTGCCCCATAAACTCCTCAAATATCTACATGACATCCTTCCTGCATTTCCCAGAGAAACTCAATGGACCACTGTGTCCTTCCAGACCCTTTCACATTTGAGTCCACTGGCACTGTGAATCCAACCGAACTCCCCTGAAAGGGGCAAGAGCATTTTCTTCAATGGCAGAGGAAATGTGACTGATTGCCCAGGATTTTCTCATTCCTCGTACTCAGATCTCTCCACATGGCCAGTGCCTCCATGAGATTAACAACACCTTGGCACCTGGCAAATCTTTGAACTGGCCTCCTGTCTCCTGCATTTTGGCCTTGCTTCCATTTTCCTTCCCTCTGGGACTGTAATTAAATGATACTGTAAGGCAAGAGAGGATCTGGGATCTGTGGCACGTAGCTGTGACATCTAAACTCTTTTTCAGGTCCTGTTTACGCAGAGATGATCAACAACCTGCTCCAGCCTTTGATCGGGGCGAAGGACTGCACTTTGATCCGACATAACGTGTTCCATGCCCTGCCAAACACGGCCAACACGTTGATAGGCCGGGCTGCCCACATTGCCGTGCTGGACTCTGAACTTTTCCTGGAGAAGTTTTTCCTCGTGGCAGGACTCAACTACTTCAAATAGTGCCTGAAGTACGGGGTAACAGAGGCCAACCTTTTCACAGAGTGGAGGAGAATCCCTTAGCCAAAGGAGTGAAGTGTTAGAAATGAGATCAGGTGGGACTTTCAAACTCTCCATTTCCATTTCTCTTTCAGAGAATAAAGTGCTATGGCTTTAAGGCGTTCAAGCTTCCAAGTATTGGTGCTTTTGGAAGAAATAAATATTCCTCTCCAATTTCTGTGTCCTTTGTCTACATAAAGACATGAGCCACTTCTGAAGTACAGAATCACAATAAGAAGGCTCATTCTCCAAATGTGATTGGACCAATATAATTCCCGTTTCTCCTGAATATTAAACCAGGAACTTGTCTGTCCTTGATTTAATGCTTATTTATGTATTAAAAAAGCTATACATTTGTAGCACTTTTGGGATAGTTAACACAAGAGGAAACAAGTGTATGTGAACTCAGGTTAAAACCTCCTTCATGATGAATTGAGAAGTCTGAAAACCATTTATGAAAGTTTCAGTATTTCTGTTTGTTGGAAGAAAATATTTGGATGATTCCATTCATGATAATATTTTGTAACATACAAATTCTACATTCAAATAATAGAAAGGAATGGAATATTTTACATAAAATGAAGAAATACTGATATTTGTCTTTAAAAAGAAATCCTAACTTTAAGTTGGGAAGAATTTTATTCAAATAAGAAGCTGCCAAACCAAGAGGAGTCTTTGGATTACTTGTAAAATATCAGTGGCATCTGTTCACATTTCCTCTGTTTACATTTATGAGGATCATAATTGTGCTTGTTATAACCTTAGAGGTACAACTTTTACTTTTACATTTTTATCCAAGTACATTTTCCTTTTTTTTTTTTTTTTTTTAATTCATTACTCTGATTTGGAATTCAACATACCCTTAAAAACCCAAACACTGAAAAAGGAAGGCTGGAGATGTAGAACAGTAAGGATTGTGGAAATCTTAAAAAATATTACAATGTCTTCTTGAGATCCTCTGCAATACCCAATGAATGTTTTGCTAATACCCATTTGCAGTTCTGTATAGACCTAATTATTATATGGTTTCAGGTGGTTCAAACATTTAAAAATTCATTCATGTAAAGATATCCAAGTTGTTTTTAAGGGTTTGGAAAACAATATATTTCTCACTTTTTAATTCTTTTCATCAAATCTTCATTAAGATTTTTATCAAAAACTTATCAGATTTAAAGTGGCAAATTTCAAAAAACTTTCTGTACATTTTCATAACATTTTGATAAATTTTCAATGTCACAGCAGTTTTTTTCAAAAAAAGAGAAAGTGAATAATTCTTCATAATTATTTTTGTTTGAAAGGCAGGCAGTTTTTAATGCAGAAATAGTTTGTTTAAAAACACAAAATAAACAGGTCTCTATATCTTGTAACAAAGATTGTAAAAAAAATTACAGAGTTGGGTTTAGGTGTCAAGGCTCTCATTAGTAAATTAAGATCAAGATAGTGGAGATTTCTGAAATAAGAGAATAAAAAATGAAAACAAAAACCTCACAGCCAGAGGGAAACATCTGTATAAAATCAGTTCTAGAAAAGAGTTGTTATCAGGCTGGCAAATGCTGATAAAGAGAAGGGCTGGTTTGATAAGGTAGGCATGTTTTTAAAATAGAAAGGAGAAAAAAGAAATATAATAAAGAGTGAGTTTAAGATCAACTAGAAATACAAAGGTATATTACATATAAAAATCTTGTACCCTCAAAGGGCAGAAATTATATAGAAACAGTTCCATGATGTAATTCAATGTCAGCAAATTTTTTAAACATTAAATATTACCTCAGTATTATAATTAAATAGGAAAATACTATTTTCTCTTTTTTTTTTTTTTCTTTTCCTTTTTATAAATTGACAAAGTCGGTTTTAGCCCATTAACAAATAAATCATGTCAGGAATTAAGAACTTCTGGTTTTCACTTCTTGTTTGGAAATCCTTTCTCGCTTTTCAGCCTCAGCTGTCTAATGCCACCTACACTGACAAATCACAGCTTGCTTCTTCCTTGGTAAATTGTCTAGAGAATTTTAATATAATGGGACATGGAGATTGAGCTGTTATACAGTGCAGTAGTTTTGAGCCAGGACATGGATTTTAAGGGAAAAAATAAGAAAGAAAAACAATCTCGAACCATCAGGAAGCTTTAGTGTGCTGTATGAGGGTCTGATCCACTTGTAAAAAAAAATTTGGAAAAAAAAAAACATTTAGAAGGAAGTTATTTTACACCTCCATACATGCCTGATGTGTGTGTGTGTATTTATACAGTCTGTACAAAGAAGAATGCTTATGTCAAGGTCTCACACATCAACTTTTACAGTCCTGTGTGTACTGAGCCTGACAACACACCAGTGTGACTGTTCTTCTACTCAGATTGGTGGTTCTTGCCTTGCCTTGTACCCTGGACAGCATTTCCAGCCTTCTCCTTGCATGACTGTGAGAGAAGGGACACGGGAAAAGGTCTCTGTTTTGCTGCAGAAGTTGGTGGGCCTTTTCATATGTTCACTTTGATGTCCTACACTCCTACCAGTGCTCTGACTGATGGAGAAATACACCTAAAGGTTTCAGTCCCCCTATACATATGGAATTCTTTGATGGCTCAGTCTGATTTCAGAACTGGATTGTATATGGAGCTGGATTAGGTCCATATAACTTACACCTTGTGGGTTACAGAGAGACCTTCCATGGAGCCTCAGAAAAATCTGGGAGATGTCATTCCTGTCAAAAGATAAGACACAGTTCCTTCTGCTGGTAGAAGACTGTGGGATATGTTGGCAGTAATGGTCTAGTTGAGTTCTCATTTTAAGGTTCTCAGAACAACCTCCCTCTCTTTTTCTTCTTTTGTTATTTTTAATGGGATGTTGCCTTGATTATGACTCTCAATATTGCAAATCCACTTAATTGTGTAGACTATATTACAAAGAAATCTGCACTTTCATTACAATACAAATAATATGTAAGTTGTTGGACTGCATCTGCTATCGCAATCAGCATGGACTTCTTTTCAGATTGTTTTATTTACACAGAAAGAACTATACACTAAGAATGATCTTCATAGGAACAGCAAAGTAAATGCACAGTTAGCATCTTTGTTTCTGTCTCAACCTTTGGAATTTCAATATATATTCCTTTCACATAAAGCCTTTTTAAAATAAATTTAGCTACATTTGCAGTATTGCTACAAGGATTTCCCTGCAAACTGAACAAACTCCCACTGGCTTCATGTATCTATGGGGGGTAGGGTTAAACTTTTAAGCTCAGCTCTCACATTTATAGAGGATAAGACAATTTTTCAAAACCTTGGAGAGAGGAGGGACAAACAGGGGTTTTTTGCAGCTCATCAATGTCAGTCTTTGCTGTATGTGTTTCTTCAGGGAAAAAGAAAAAAAAAAAAAAAAAAGAGCCAGCATTCCAGGATTGTTTCTTTAGCATGTAGGAGGCTCATTAGCAGCATGGAGGATCTCCTGGCTCCACCAGGTGAAGTGCATTTGGCTGTTGAGGTTTTCCAATGTTAGAGATGAGCTGTGGGCTATAGCCCAGATGAGTAAATCCTCTGGAAGGAAATGTGACAGCCCACGTGTAGAAAAAGAGGAGCAGAGACTAAGAGAGGAGCAGATCTCAGGACTTTGAAAGACGGAGGAAACAATGGGGGGAAGGAAAGAAGACAGGAGGTTTCTGAAGCAATTTATAGCATTTAAAAAGGCTGACATTAACTGTTTTAAAAAATTTGAACCACTTGAAAACAGTGAAATTATAACAATTCAATGGATATCTATGATTATGCTTTTATTAGTAGCTGGATTCAGATTTTCCCATATTTTGGGGCTTCTAGATCCCATTGAGCTCAACTTCTGAAATAATTTAGTATCTTCTGGAACTGAATATATTTTTCTTAAAAATATGACTGGAAGGAAATTGCAGTATTGACTAAGTGTGAGTAGATGAGGGACAGAATAGCAAGTTCTTTCTTTCTGCAGTTGGGCTGAGGATTTTCAAGGAATTAGTTTTGAATCTCGTGGAAATTGAAAAGTCAATCTCCTGGATCATCTGGAGGTGCTTCTACTTGGAGAATCTTAGAATTTGGCTTGTCTAATTTCATCACTTAATTTGTGATTAAAAATTAGTTGCAAAATGAATTTATTCTACGAAAATAAAAGTCTTAATTTCTCTACATAGTCAGTGAAGAGGGGCAGGCACTACTAAAAGTCTGCAGGAGTGATCCTGTTTTCTGGTTTGGTGACATTCAGGGTTACTTACCTTTATTCTCTTATCAGGGAATTTATGATAGGACTCACTGTTTAGGTATCTAAGACACAGACAAAAATTGGAGGCCCAGCATTTGAGGACTGGATGACATTCTTAATTATTAGCTCTTTAGTTTTTCATACTTGGGCACAGTTTTTGACTGTACACCTTAAACAAAAGCAAACACTAGTCATAAAAAATAGACACTCCTTTGAAATTTTCAGGAAATGTGTCTTTTCCCAGCTTCCAATGGTTACTCATTTTCTCTTTAATGAAATTCATAATTTGTTTTCAAAATCAGGTCTGTCCATTGACAATAGGGGCAGTTGAAGTTCCTTAGCTTTAAAAAAGACTTGAAACCCTAGTACAGAGCTTTGGAATTACCTACAGGAATACTGAGCACAATTTCACTTCAAAGCACTTCATAAATATCCACTGACCAATCCTCTTCACTGTTTCCTTGCCAGAGAAGAACCACACTTGAGAGAGAAAGCTGTTACAAGACAGTGTAAAAACTGGCAATTCAAGACAAAGTTTTCATTATTTGTAGGTTTCTCTGGTGCTTTTTGTATGCTAAAAAAATAGTTATCTTCCTTTATACTTCTTCACTTGAAATAGCTAAGTGTTGATGAAGGAGATAGGTGAGAACTTCTAATAAAAAGGTTAGACTCTTGTGCAGGTTTATGCAAATATCCCATGGAATTTAATATATAATGAATAGTCATGGAGCATTTCTGCAGCAGTCTTGGCATGCAAATATGTGTCAGCCCAGCTGAATGATTACTTTCTTTGTGGACTTAAATTTCCACTTATAAATTATTGTCAGAACAGCCTCACATATTTTACTCCAGACAATTGTTTAGGTGCCAGAGGTCATGTCCATGGAGGACTCTTACAGAATGTTTTTTCTTTATTTCAATACATATGCTCAGCAATTTTGATATTGAATGTTGTTAGATAATTGACAGTTTCTGGCTCAAATTACCTCCTCCCCCAAATTTTCAGTGTTTATTTACTCATTGAATAGGTTTCAGTTGTAAATCAGTATAAATACAGGTCTATTGGAGTCAGAGTTCAGCTTCTTTACCG